CACAGCCTGATCCGACCCCCCTGTGTGACTGCACCCCCCATCCCCAGCGTGACCCGCCAAAATGAGCACCCCCTGTGGCTGGCACTACCCAGTGTTACCGCCAGTGTTCCTGTAAGTCCCCCAGCTAGATGCTCCCCATCCTTTCCGCCGCACTCCCCCAGCACGGTGCAGATCATCATACCCATCCCTCAGCATCTCCCCAGAGCTGCTGGCGCTGTTCTTGGGTTCGGCATTCTGGAGGAAGGGCAGCGGTTAAATGCCCCCTGTGGTTGTCCCGATTGAGGTATCCCAGGGGGTAGAACCCCAGTGTGGGGAGCTGGGAACCAAAACTCCTGGGTTCTGTTTCTAGCCCTAGGAAGGGAGTGAGTTCCCTTGCAGCCCTACAATTTTACTGTGCTTCAGGAAAGGGAGGGGAGAGTAGTGGTTAGAGAGCCGCAAGGGCTTGGAAATCAGTGCCTCTCCCCAGAGGTACCTTAGCCACCATGGTGGTATGATTGCACACCATCCACACCATGGCAGGCTATTCATGTAAGTTGCATGTCACCCATGCAGTATTCCGTGGGACAGACAAGGCATTGTGGGGGATAGGGACCAATTGCAGCACGTGGCTGCTGCCTGTGAGCTTGCACTAGGGTGGTTAGTTCAGTCTGCAGTAGTCCAATGCACTATCCCCATGCAACATGCAGGGTGCATGCAGCAGTAATGCGTTCCATATACAGGCACTGGAGTCATGTAGCACTCCCCTGCTGTGACCCCATGCATCTAGGACAAAGTTAGGGGGCACATATGCAGCTATAAGCACACACTAGGGTCAGTGCATCCGTGGCACTTTTCCCAAGCAGGGTAGAGCCAGAAAAGGCTACAACAAGGCAGGCACCACTCCATTGTGCCGCTGTCTGTGCAACAGGCATGGGGGCTGTGGCCCTGCGAGCCACGTGCAGCACACTGTGCATGCTGTGGTGGTCTAAACTTTCCACAGGCTGTCCCCATGCAGCACGTTGACACAGCCTGTGAGTATCCACTAGGGCCGATGCACACGGTTCCGCTGGCACGAGTAGGGTCCTTAGGTGTAGGGAGCGTCGCGTGGCCCCTGCCAGGGGTCAGCTCCATTCACGGAGCCAGGGCTGAGTTTCAGGAACGTAAAGACTGGGACACAAAGGCTGTTTTGCGGGAGGGTGCGGCAGCTGCATCCCGACACTGCCACCTGCAGGCTACTCGGGGAATGGGCGCAGCAAGGACAAAAGGGAAATGGGATTCACCCATGTATATGGAAGGGGCGGGGCTGCTGCTCTGGCTTGAGGGGCACTGTCAGAGTTGGGGAGGGGAGGGCAGAGGAGCCCAGGTTTGGGACTATAGGGTGCTGTGGGGCAGGACTGAGGGGCACCAGCAAAGCAGGGAGAGAACAGGCAGAGAAGGACATCCAGATGCAGTACAATTCTTCCTTTGTGCTCCTCATGTCTCCACAGTCCCACCCTGCACCAGACCCGGACGCTGCCTTTGGTTTCCCCTACTCTGTTCTCATTGCAAATTCCCCCAGGAGCCTCAGGACACAGTTCCCCCCCCCCTCCCATGTTTTATTCCCCAAAAAGGCTGGCATCGGGCTGGGAGGAGGAGCGGATGCAGATAGGGCTTGGTAAGGGGAATAACCCCAAAAGGGGCTTCATACAGACTGAAGGGTGCCATCCATTTGTGGAAACTGCAGGGTGGGTGGGTGAAGTATCACTGGAGTGGGCAAAAATGTCTCAGTGGGGTAGCGGTGTGAGAGTCTGTAACTTTAAAAATGAGTAGTCCTGTGGCACCTTAGAGACTAACAAAAATACCTAGTAACATGAGCTTTTGTGGGTAAAACCCACTTAATCAGTTTAGGGGGTAGAGCAGAAGTGCAATGGGTCCCCCTCTTGCTAGTCCCCACACCAGGCACTAGGTGGCTAGATTTCCCTCACAGCATCCCCAGGATTCCTGAGTCCTGGGACAGTGGCAGGTGCATGGAGGCAGGTAGACCTCACTTTTCTGGGTCTGGTTCCATCTTTGGTGAATCCTGTTCTCTCCCCACTCCCATGCCTCTGTGTT